TATATCTATAAAATAACGATTTATGTTTTTAATAAAATTTGAATTTTACATTCAAATAAAATACAATAACGTTAACTACCGGATCATATCATTGCCACTAACTAAGACGCTCATAATTTCGAGGATTTGACACGATGACATTGAGAATTATAATTTTATAAGGTAAAATTATATTTTAAAAAAAAAAAAGAGAAGTGTACAAATAATAATGAATAATCTTTCCGATTAATGTTAACTAAATTGATTGATGATGAGTTAATCGTGATATTATATAATTGGTTAGTACTTAATAAAAATAATGATAAATTATACAACATGACTCGTGGTTACATTTCTATAGAAAATAAATTTTAAAATATATATTTTATCTTTCGAAAATATTTTAAAAGTGAAAAAATATTTCGATGCATTAATTTTTAAATAAAAATTTATATATTTTATTAATTAGATGACAGCGCACATAAAAATAATAGTATTTTTTTATCAAAAATGTAAAGTGCAATTCAACTCGAACTCAGGTTTTTATAAAGAATACGAGAAATAGTTGATAAAGGTTAAACGCAAAATACTTACCTTCGCAAGGAAGCATCTTTTCTAATCCTTCTTTCTTTTTCACCGGAACTCAATTCAATAAAAGCAAAAGTTCAAATATAAAGTGATAAAACTTTAGGTCATGTTTGCTAAAGCTATAGAGCTGAGGAAAAAAAGACATTCAAAGCAAACAAGAAACCTAGAAAAGTGTACGACAAAATGATTAAGAAAACTCGGTTAGTATGATCATGATCTAAGTTCGAAGATGGAAATGACGTGAAACTGAAGATCAACTATTTAAGACCGAAACAACTTATGATTTATCTCGCTCATTTTCAGAACTCTTAAGAGACATGCGACTACAATCAAGATTCAGAGATTCGGAGATAAGATTTCGAACTCCGATATTACGTGAAATAATCGATCGGTAATCAATTATTTTAAAAACTTTAGGGCTGAATAAAGAACACAGTGTATTACAATATAATTTAACAACTCTAATCTCAATTACATCCAAACACTCGCCTTGATTATGCAACAAATACAATAAGATAAACACATCAAGAATCCGCTGCAGAATGTCTACTAGTATAATGTCTTCGATCATTTTTTTTTTTAAAAATGGTGTAGAATGTATCATTAGCAACGAACAATAGGGTCGGTGGCAATCCGTATATAAAGTAATTACATATTTACCAATATGTTAATAAGGTCTCCTAAATTTTTCTATAGAGTAAAGAGAATGATCCAACATAAAAAATCCAAGTGTCAAGCTTTCGTGTTTAAAATGCATGAGGAATGTCAAGAATGCAAGAATTATTTACTGGTTATCAAGAGAAAACCAAACAAGCATATACAGACATTTGAGTTATAAAATACAGTGAAGAACAATCCAAAACAGTTGGTTGATGGAAAATTTTCAAGATCAAAGCAGTATTGATCTACAAAGCAGTATTGATCCTCTGTTAGGAATGGCCTCAACAGGAAAAAGGTAATTCGACAAGATGAAGAAGATATTATCGTGTAACTTCAACGTAATGCTATTGAAATGAGAATGAATTGCAGTTTTAATCTACAAATTATGTAATTGCAGGCGAGATTAATCTTTTTTGTTCTGAAAAAAAAAGGAAAAAAAATAAGTTAAAAGTACATGCAAAGAGTTGTATAACAAAAAGTAAATTGTGATATCATATGTAATAACATTATCAAAAGATACAAGCAGTAGAATCGGTTCAAAACTTCCAATAAGAGTAAATATTGGAAACAAAGAGAATTTCGAAAAATCACGAAGAAAGAATTACCAAAAAGCAATTTGAAACTAAAGAGCTACTAGGCCTCACTTCCTATTATATATAACAATTCGAAAAATAAGAGACCTACTGTGATAACCAACCGGGATCTCACTTGCATTCCACACCAGCTTCAGCAGCTCGACGAGGTTTGCTTTTCCTCCTACTTCCATTTTGTCTATACCCATTAGACTTTGTCGAGTCCTCGGTGCTTGATCTGGTTCCAACACCATTTTCCTCCTTCGCTGAATCAGACTTCTCCTTCACCTGTGAGTTTCTTTTTCTTTTCTTTCCATTTTCGGTTGCAGTGGGACTCTTAGTCTCTTTGTTTGCTATCCCAACTTTTCCATTTTCACCATCTTCCTCGTCTAGTTTTTCAGCTTCCTCTTCATCAATCTCGTCTTTCAGTGGGTTTCTGTGGGCCTCCCTCTTCTTTCTGTGCAGGAATTTTCTCCTCCCTCGCCACTTTCCAGCATCCTCATGGTTGCCAACAGTTAACTTCTTTCCCTTCCCCCTACCTCTACCCATAATCTCAATGTCCAATTAATGGACAACTCACAA